ACAAATATTTGTCATTTAGTTAGTTATTTCATGAGATATTCTTATTTTCTTATTTAAGTGGTTCCTTGACATTCTTATTTTCTTAGTTAGTTAGTCATTTAGTTAGGAAATCTTTTATTATTTATGTGTGATTTTATAATTAATTAGTTTACTTTTGAACCAAGTAGCCTTGGTGCCCAAGTCTTGTAAGACTTATAAATAAGGCTAATGTAATAGTTTTAGGGGAGTTTTGTTGATGATTAATAAAATGGTTTATTTGTGGCATGGATTTGCTACGATATATGTGAGTTTGCACTAGCCTTAGATCCACCTTCTCAGGAAGGTTTTTGGATGGGGAGTCATGTTGACAACTACAACAACATGGAGGAAATTAGAAGGATGCTACGGCAACTTACAGAACACGTCGCTCTCATCGAAGCTCTAACCCAGATAGGTAAGAGTTCTGACAGGGAGGGATGCGTGAACCCTTATCTGAACCGAGTGACTCACATCGACACTCTAAGCTGTGGGAGTCTTTATGGGGAGTATGAGGGAGATAGCCCTTTTCATAGTTGTGCTCTACTGTGTGAGTCAAGTGAAGAGGGGCACAATGATTCTCATCGTGTCTTTGAAGGTATAAATGGATTTAGTAATTTTGGTGCATCTTGTCATTCATCAAAGTTATTAAATTTGGATTTACCTCAAATATTTGATCTTTGCAACTGTGAAAATTGAAATGAAAAGGGTTGTCTCCCTCGTACTCCCCGTCAAGACTCCAACAGTTTAGAGTGTCGATGCGAGCTACTCAGTTGATGGGGATCAGGATTCGGACACAGGTCACCAACAACACACATGAGCACCGAAATCTAGGGCTAGTCCAAACTCACATATATCGTAGCAAATCCATGCCACAAATTTCTTAATCATCAACAAAACTCCCCTTCAACTATTACATTAGCCTTATTTATAGGCTTTACAAGACTTGGGCACCAAGGCTACTTGGTCCAAAAGTAAACTAATTAATTATAAAATCACACATAAATAATAAAAGATATCTTAAAACTACTTAAATAAGAAAATAACAATATCTCATGAAATAACTACTTAAATGGTAAATATCTATCTTGATCCACCCCATATGCTCTTGCATCAGACTCCCCTGGTTGGAAAGAATTCGTCCTTGAATTCAGGCCTTTGATTGAGGAAAATCCGAATGGAATCTTCCAATGCTTCATATTAATTATGGATCTGTTAGCACCCAATTGAAACCTTATTTCCCAAGTAAAAAGATATTTAGAATATTTTGTTATTCTTGGCTTCTTCTTACTCCCTCTAAAAATGCAAATGTGTCTCTCTAGAACCTTCAATCGATCGACAAAATCAACTAGATTCTTGGCAACCTTCCAAGTGAAAACATTAATGCCCATAAAACCAATAATATCATCGAAATTTTCTCAATTCTCACTTCTTCATTGTTCTGATCAGTAAATTGCTTTGACCTTAAACAATTTTCATAGTTGCAATAAGGATCAAATATTGGAGATAAATCCAAATTTAATAACTTTGATGAATTACAAGATGCACCAAAATTTTAAAAAATTTAGTCCTAGTCCGAGCATAAACCAAACACAGGACAGTACTATTTTCGTTATCCAGCTTCTTAGTTTGACTCAAAACCCAACGTAGGTAAGTACTTAATCCAACTTAGACCAAGCCACGCCAATCCAAGACAGTCCCATGATTTAGTCAAGTCCATGACAATCCGCTTTACCAAACGACCCCTATAAAATTTAGAGTGTGAACTTACATAAGCTAGGACACCTAGATGTTTTTCATAGTAATAGAAGTTGGTATTGTTCCTGCTGCTAATAATCTCCAATATCAAGCCCCCGAAGCTATAGACATCTGATTTTTCAGAAAATATCCCGCCTATGGCATACTCCGGAGACATATAGCCAATGTAAAGGCAATTCATTAGTACTTAACTGACAATATTTATTCTTTGTTTCTGGTCTTTAGAAAAGTGCCACAAAATTTATATCTTAATGGCATGCAACTAATGTTTCAGTTAAGACTGCAGGGTTCTAAATAAAATGAATGGTACAGCTAGATTTCCTACATGTTATCTCTGCTTCCATATAAATTCACTACTACACTGATATGAATGACAATATGCTGAACATTGAAATCTGAGTTGTGATGCTCTTCCAAGAATAGGAAAAGGAATGATGCTTACAGTGTTCCCACAACCTTCTGAGTATTTGCTAGATGCTGTGTCCCTTAAACGATACGTGCCAATCCAAAATCTGAAATTTTGGGGTTCATGTTCTCATCCAAGAGAATGTTACTGACCTTCAAATCTCTATGTATTACCTTCAAATAGGAATCATGGTGGAAACAAAGAAGCCCTCTAGCAACACACTGAATAATATTGAAGCGTCTGCCCCAATTAAGCTCAGGTCTCCTCACTGGATCTTGTAAATGCAAACATTCGAAATATAACCAATAGTTTCATTCATATATCCCATGCATTGTACAATGAAAACGTTGCTATGGAAGATATTGAAACATTTGTATGAACAATAGTGAAACAGGGGTGTAATCAGATTCAAAATTGATTTCAGGTCTAGTTCAACATTGTCTCTTCTACTTTATAGAGAACTGAATTGTACTCATGTATTATACAATTCAGTTTACAGTTCTGAGCATTAAATCTGCAGGATGTCTTGCTTGACTGTTTGTGTATTGAAAATAATTCTGTGATTCTGTGTATCAATCGAAAATAATTTTGATTCCTTGTGCACTGGACATTTAGTTCAAGTGAACTCATTTGTGGCTTTAAGTTAAGTAGACAAATTACAAAGATAAAGTCCAGTGAAACTAACCAAATAAATGAGTGTCCAAGCTTCTGTTTGGCATGAACTCATAAATCAGTAACTTCTCATCTTCTTTGACGCAGCAGCCCATGATCAAAGCAAGTTTTTTATGTTGGAGCTTGGAGATCAACAGAATCTCATTCTTCAACTCTTCTATGCCTTGCCCTGAGCTACTAGATAGTCTTTTTACTGCTATTTCCTTCCCTTCTTGTAGATCCTACGTACAAATCAATCACTGAATTCATGTCCTTATCTTGTAGTTGTATAGAATTGTAGCTGTTGTGATACAATGTTTTCCTTTAGAAAGAGAAAAGGCAAAATAAAAACTCACCTTGTAAACTGGACCAAATCCCCTCCCTTCCCTGAGTTTGTTTGTGATACTGAAATTGTTCGTAGCGATTAATATGCTGTCAAAATTATAGATGAATAGCTCCGATGGATCTTGGTTTCTAATATATTCCTGAAGAGTGTCTCTTGAAGTCTCAGTAGTATCAGTCAATTTAAAGAACTTTGTTGTTACTTTGACTTTTCCTGATTTGGCAAATATAACAATCAAATACTGAGTCAGATAAAACCTTCAAAATTTCTTTGTTAGCTTACACAAATGAATTGCATCCCTTTAGGTTAGCTCGCAATCTGTGCAAAACAAACACCATGGCACCCAAGATACTAAACCAATAGCTGTGAGCCTGTGATCAGGCTGACAATTAACTTGGTTCGATTTCCTTCATCTGAAAAAATGAATTTGTAATGCAAACAGTGTGAGACAGAAAAGAAAAGATATTTATACTTAAAGCTGTGGAAGCAATATTATCATCATTTACCTATTTCTATACTGTCTAGGAGAATAAAAAGATCTACTCCATCAGAGGAAAACTCCTGTATATCAATAAGGTCTTTGGACCAGGCCAAACACCTTATATTATTAACAAATGCATAAGCCAAGCAAGAACAATTATTTAGGCATTGTATCATGCACTCTTCAGCATCCAAAGACGTGATATATTCATGGTAGTTTCAACCGTACCATCTTCGAAAACCCATCTCGTTTTCCTCTCCAAGTGACTGACTTGCTTGTGTACTACTCTCACAAAACAATTTTGTTTTCCTCACACACCCTGCTGTCCTGTTTCCTTTGCTCCATTCCTCATGTGACTTAGGTACAAACCCTTTCAAAAACACTTGCAGATTGGAGATTCAGAAGTTCTGCAAACTCCAAAAAGGTCCACATGTTCCACAATGGTCACATGGATTCTTTTGTGCCTGCCAGTTAAGATTCCAGTTCTCACCATGTTCGATCGGAATACATAAGCTTTAGTGTACCATCTGAAGAGATATCCATATATCACAGTTTTGTCAAATACATAATAAGAGAAATACTTTTTTCCCTTCGGCACATTATCATCGAGATTCAACCCACAACCTTCTGAGTGTTTGCTAGATTCTGTGTCCCTTGAAAGATACGTGCCAATCCAAAATTTGAAATTTTTGGGCTCATCTTCTCATCCAACAGAATATTACTTACCTTCAAACAGGAATCATGGTGGAGATAAACAAGTCCTCTAGCAACACCTTGAATAAATATTGAAGCGTTTAGCCCAATCAAACACTGCTCTTCTCATTGGATCTAATCACTACACCCATTGCCATTAGAAATGAAATCAATAGTCCCCCTGAGTTCGGCATATACTAGGATAGGAAGAGCTCAGACATTATCAATGATACTGAAGAAAGATTAGGTGACAATGAGAAATTGCAGCCAAACATAAAGGGCCAGTGAAACTAACGCAATAATATCATATCCAAGCTTTTGTTGAGCTTTACAAGATTCTTGTGTTGGAGTTTGGAGATCAACAGAATCTCAATCTTCAACTCTTCGATGTCTTGCCCTGAGCTACTACTAGATAGTCATTTTTGAAAAATCGGCCGAGGTGGTGAGCGCCCAGGAGCTAGGCGGGTCCTTTTTTATATATTTATAGATGTTGTTTTTCATGGACTCATTCTTCAACTCTTCGATGCCTTGCCCTGAGCTACTAGATAGTCATTTTCAAAAAATCGACCTAGGTGGTGGGCGCCCAGGAGCTAGGAGGACGCCTAGGCGGGGGTTTTTTTTTTTTTTTTTTTTTTTTGTAGATATTGTTTTTCATGGACTTAGATTTCAACTACAAAGACTCGGTGATGGTGGTGACCAAGGACGAGTACGAAAAATGCCGTTCTGCTCATCCCATCTTCTTCTCCAACAATGGTGTGACCGTGTTCACATTGGACCGGCCTGGTTTGTTCTATTTCATTAGTGGGGTTTCTGGGCACTTCGAGAGAGGCCAGAAGATCATCAAGGTCTTGGAACTAGCAAGCCCACCTCAATCTGTTGTCCAGAACGAGCAGAAGAATGATGCTGCAGTTGCAATGCCCGCCATCTCTTCTGCAACTCTCATGTCCTGCATTATGTCATTTGTGGGGGTTCCTTTTCTTCTAATTGCAGTGATCAGTGATGGTTACTATATTTTTCTTTTGGTTTGATTCAGCACGGATACTCCGATTTAGGTCCGAATCCAGTATCAATATGCTACTATACGCGTCGGATACGTATCGGAGTATACAGATACTATCTTTAATGAACCGACAACTCGTTTTAGAGGTTTTAAGAGGGAAAATAAAGAGGAGATAAGCTTTAATTGTTGCGGGTTGAAAAATTCGAAGAGTTTGCCAGCCGTAGGTCTACTTTGCCCGATCATACTCCAACTCCAACACTTCTTCTTCTTCTAATGTATCTTTATCTTATTTTTATGTTATAAATATTTTGATAACTATATATTAAATTATTAATGTATATTTTTAATTGCCGTATCATATCCTAGTTTTTAGAGATTTTTCGTATTGCCTTTCGTATTGTATTGCCATTTCCGTATCCGTGCTTCATAGGTGAGTTGAGATTAAAAGTAGTGTAGGACTGGAACTGATTGAGATTATGAAAGTAAATTTGTTTTAAGTAGGATATTTCTCTATTGAATTATTATTATTTTATTATTTTATCTTTGTTTTTTTATGGGTACAGATTTGTTTTAACTCTTGAACATATTATTTACTTCCATCTTCGTCGGGAGAGGTCTAACATGGTAAATATTTGCCGGCATAAACCTGTGCCGATAAAAGTTCATCCTGAGAGGTCTTTTTAAAAATATATATATAAACTTAGGATGTTTAGGTTAATTAATTTTTAAAATTTTTTATTTTAGTAATTAAATAATATTTTGACTGATTAGTAATTATATTTTAATTATTATTTATTTAGTGAATAATTAGTATTAAATACTTTAATTAACTTCATGAATTATATTACTTAATAAATAGTAATTCAATTTTTCTTTTTCTTTTTTCCTTTAATATTCACTAAGTAAATAATCACTAAAACATAAGTACTAATCAAAGTAATTAAAAGAGTGAAATACATATTATGCTACTTAAAGGGCCCACATGTAAAATAGTATAGCCGTGCGGCTATACTTTTTATTAAAAAAATTCAAAACTGAATATAGCCGTGCGGCTGTTCTAGTTTTAAATATAAAAAGAGGACCCCATCGATTAGGCACCACGTGTCAAAACATGTCTACTTTTAAAAAAAATAAAAAAACAGAGAGTATAGCCGTTCGGCTGTACTCTTTTATTTTTAAAAGGAACCTCCAACGATTAGACGCCACATGTCACAAATAAGTATAGCCGTCCGGCTATACTATTTTTCAAAAAAACAAATCGTAGTATAGCCGGACGGCTATACTATTTAAATACATTATATTTAAATGGTCTATACTATTTAATAATAAAAAAATAAGAAAAAGGACCCTCCAAGTTGCATTAGTTTGTAATTTATAGATATTAATTTGCTAGTTTCAACACATCCAAAGTAGATATTAATCGGCCACTATATAATATTTTAATATAATTTTTATAACATATATTATTGTTATTCAATAATATGTGAGAATTATTTGTATAATACGTTAACTTTGTGTGTCTTAATGAAAATTAGGTAAAAACTATTTGTATTAAGCATTATAAATACGTACGTACATGTATAATAAGACTATTGTACGTTTGGTTTTAAAAAAACAGGAGACGTGTATACAACACGAATGTATTATTGAGAAATACATACGTACGTATATATATATATATATGATAATAGCCGCTCTTGGGCTTTGGAGAAAATTAATTAAGAGTTAAGACATCCAAACGAAAATAAGTAATTAATTTTTTCGTTCTTGCACAACATAATTAAAATTAAAACGGATAAGATATTACATAATTACATATATTAAATTGAAGAAGTTGGCCAAAAAAACAGAAGTAAAGAAACTAATTTTATATTTTTTTTTAATTTTAAAATCATAAAAAATTATAAAAAAAACATAAAATCCTCTCCCGACAAAATTTCTTCGGGACAGGTCTATGCTAGCAAAGATTTGCCAGATTAGACTTCTCCTGACAAACATTCCTCTGCCGACGAAATTTCATTGGGAGAGGTCTAATATGACAAATATTTTCCGGCATAGACCTGTACCTAGGGCTCGTCAATGGGCCGCCCAAATTTAATGGGCTTGGATCGGGCCGGGCTTGGCTTTAAAGAGGAGAGAGAAAATATCGGGCTGGGTCGGGCCGAGCTTTTTTAGAAAATTCGAAGCCCAAGCCCATCTCATAGGCCGAGCTTGAAAAAGCCCATCGGGGCAGGCTGAAATGGGCCTAAAAAATAATAAGTATAAATTTTTATTTTTTATTTTTTATAAGGATGGTATGAATAAATATGCAAATGTTTGGTGATGTGTTAAAGCAAAGTATGATTATATTTGGTGGTATGATTATGTTTGGTGATATGATATGTTGTTCGTCTTATTATATAGATATAATTGTTTTATTAATAAATGACACAAATTAATGTGCTAATCATCCAATTATAAACTAGGAATGAGTAGAATTCAATAGAAACACAATTTTTCAAACAAGTAACACACACAAAAAAAAATGAAAGAGGGGGATTTGTCATTCAAGTGATGTAATCCTAATCATAAACCCTTATTTATACATAATTATATATGTATGCGAGCCTAACGGGCCGGGCTTTTGTGGGCCGGCCGGGCCTGGCCGGGCTTTCATGGGCTTAATCGGGCCAGGCCGGGCTTCAAACACCCAAGCCCAAGCGGGCCAGGCCCTCTCAAAGCCCATAACGTGCCAGGCCGGGCTTTTTTTCGATGGGCCGGGTGGGCCCCCGTAGGCCCATGAGCCCGCGGGGCAAATGATGAGGCCTACCTGTACCGACGACATGTCGTCAGGAGAGGTATTTTAAAATATATATAAACTTAGGATGTTTAGGTTAATTAATTTTTTTTAAATTTTATTTTAGGAATTAAATAATATATCTGTGTGATTTAATTAGTTAAATTAGTAATTATATATTAATTATTATTTATTCAGTGAATAATTAGTATTAAATAATTTAATTAACTTCATGAATTATATTACTTAATAAATAATAATTCAGTTTTTCTTTTTCTTTTTTTCCTTTAATATTCACTAAGTAAATAATCAATAAAACATAACTACTAATCAAAGTAATTAAAAAAGTGAAATACATATTATGCAACTTAAAGGGTATAGCCACGCGCCTAGGCGCCTTTGTGTAAAATAGTATAGTCATCCGGCTATACTTTTTTTTAAAAACAATTTTAAAACTGAGTATATCCGTCCGGCTATACTATTTTTTTTAATATAAAAAAAGGACCCCAGAGATTAGTCACCACGTGTCAAAACAAGTCTACTTTTAAAATTAAAATAAAAAAAACACAGAGTATAGCCGTGCGGCTGCACTTGTTTTTGTTTTTAAAAAAAGAGAACCCTCCAGCGATTAGACGCCACATGTCAGAAATAAGTATAGCCGTCCGGCTATACTATTAAAAAAAAAAATCGTAGTATAGCCGCACTGCTATACTATTTAAATACGTTATATTTAAAAGGTCTATACTATTTAATTTTAAAAAAATAAGAAAAAAGCATTAGTTTGTACTTTATAGATATTAATTTGCTAGTTTCAACATATCCAAAGTAGATATTAATCGGCCACTATATAATATTTTAATATAATTTATATAACATATATTATTGTTATTCAATAATATGTGAGAATTATTTGTATAATATGTGAACTTTGTGTGTCTTAATGAAAATTTTGTAAAAACTATGTGTATTAAGCATTAGAAATACGTACGTACATGTACAATACGACTATTGTATGTTTGCATTTTAAAAAAAGGAGACGTGTATAGAACATGAATGTATTATTGAAAAATACATACGTATGTATATATATATATGTATATATATATATAAGACAATAGCTGCTCTTGGGCTTTGGAGAAAATTAATTAAGACACCCAAACGAAAATAAGTAATTTATTTTTTCGTTTTTGCACAGCAAAATTAAAATTAAAAAGGAAAAGATATTACTTAATTACATATATTAAATTAAAGAAGTTGTCCAAAAAACAAAAGTAAAGAAACTAATTTTAAATTTTTTTTAAATTTTAAATTTTAAAAAAAACATAACACCTCTTCCAACGAAATGTCGTCGGGACAGGTCTATGCCGGCAAAGATTTGCCGGATAAGACTTCTCCTGACGAAAACTCCTCTGCCGACAAAATTTCGTCGGGAGAGGTCTTTTTAAAAAAATAATTATAAACTTCGGAATGTTTAGGTTAATTAATTTTTAAAAAATTTGTTTTTAGTAATTAAATAATATATTGGCGTGATTTAATTAGTTAAATTAGTAATTATATTTTAAATATTATTTATTTAGTGAATAATTAGTATTAAATATTTTAATTAACTTTATGAATTATATTACTTAATAAATAGTAATTCCATTTTTCTTTTTCTTTTTTTTCCCTTTAATATTCACTAATTAAATAATAACTAAAACATAACTACTAATCAAAGTAATTAAAAAAGAGATACATATTAAGCTACTTAAAGGGTATAGCCGCGCGGCTATATGTTGAAGATATTCTGTTTATAGAGAATAGCCGCACGCCTAGACTTTTAAAATATTATATTTATAGAATATAGACGCGCGCCTATAAATATTCTATTTTGGAGTATATATTTGTTTTAACTCTTGAACATATTATTTGCATCCATCTTACTCAAACCATAAATGAGATAACTCTCGAAAGCTAGGGTTATTGGTTCGAGACTTGGATTTAGGGTTCGGAATACTAAAATAATTTTCTATCATTTTTAAATAGTTGAAACCATATTTTGAAATAATTTCGGAAAGTGAAAATAATTTTAAAGTCCAAAAAATTGTTTGAGATAAATAAATATAATTAATTAGTATCTATTATGAAATTAAGTAATATCTTACTCTTATTTGATTACTTTAATTATGATTTATTTGGTGAATAATTGGTATTTTAATATTAATTATAACCCCTATCAAGAAAGATATTTTTATATCTGGTCATGTGATTACTACAACCACTATCAAGAAACCAAACATGATCATTCTTTTGTTTTGTTTTGATGCCGCTTAACAAGCATAGAACATATTTCCACCACCTTCCTTTTCTTCAATGAATAATTTCAAAGGGAAAAATACGTTGCAGCAGCAGCACTAAGAATTTCCAACCTTGGAAAACAAAGCAAACAAATTGCAACCAAATCTGCTACCAACTTTTAGGGCATGTTTACATATCAGTAATGGAGAAAATAAAGAATCAGAGAATTTAGGAATCAGGGAACTACTGAATCGGTGGGAAGAATCATTCTCATTAAGCTGTTTACTAAACATATGGAATTAGCAAAGGAATGGGGTTGATTCCCATTGTTATTATTTACTAATTTTCATGAATCAGAATCCAAATTAATTTGATTACTAAAATGTCTTGCACATTTTTACCACAACACATATATAATTCTCAAATTGGCTAAGGAGACCAAACTAATTCTGCAGCAAACCAGTAAGGCGGTGTAAACACGAGGAATCAATATGCTGAACAAGATGAACAGCAAGAGCCCAGTTCAATGATAATGTTAATAACACCTTTGTCCAGAGCCAATTTCAAACGAAAAAAATATAAATATATATCTTTCACCTATGTAACTAGTAAACAATCAAATAATAATAACTTGCATAATCTTCATACTACCAAAAAAAGAGATATATAATCTCCACAAAAGTCTTTATCCATGACCGTACTTTATTTTGTGATGAATGTGAAGACATAAGATAGAAGAAAAAGAAGAAGATAGATAGATAGAATGACTTACATAGCACAAGGTGTTGCCGTTGCTTCTGGGAGGTTGTGTCTGCAACGCTAACGTGAAAAAGAAGTTGGAGCGTCTTGGAATTTCTTGGCGTGAGTTTTTTTTTATTTTTTTTAAGGGTTTGGGGTGTTTTGAAATTATGGTAAAATGATACGAGTATTTTTGGAAGTTAATAAGAGAAAACAGGAATGGGAATCGTATCGACTACTCCCCCTAGTTGATCTGATACCTAATTTTGAGGGGATGTGATTACGGATTTTGAGGTGGGGCCCACTTATTTTTTCATTCCTGATTGCAAGTAAACACAGGGAAAGTCAGGAATGGAAATCATTCTCTTTCCTCCCATACCCATTACTGATACATAAACATACCCTTAAAGTGATATTTTCATTCTTACAAAGTTTGATTCTCATTCTTACGCAAACCAAACATGGAAAAGAAAATAAAGTGATATTATCTAGTTACTTTCCCAGCATTACCAAACATGGAAAATGATTTCCCATCAAATCTTTTATGCAAACTAAACGGAGCATCAAGAATAAGTCATAGTTTTATCTACAAGACAAGTAGAACATTATATAGGATCATTAGCGGGCTAAATAATATATTATAATAGATTATAGTTACAATAACCTATTGGAGAATTCCTCCACTGTTACTTTCCACCAAAGGCTATAAATCTTAATCATCCCCTATTATATTAACCTTATATCCTCCTAATCAATTAGCATTTCGCTAGTTGTGGTCTGTATGGTTGCCTTGCTGCTCTGCATGCTTAGGTCTTCCCCGCGCTTCTTCAATTCTTGGGACCTAATGAACTCTTGTATTCTTCCCTTCAATTCATTGTCTGGTATCAGCATGTCCGCCGTAAGATGGGAGCGGTTGAATGGATCTGACTGCAAATCACATTACGTACATAAATTAGCACGCAATAGGAGATCCATTTCATAAGATCAAGATTAATTAGCAGTGTTGATGATGTACATTATCACTAAGAAGATGCCTTTGGATGACAGGTCGGTCTACCGTGATTCTTGAAGAAGGCAAGATAACTGGATCCTTCATTAAAGTGTACTGCAAGAAAGGAAATACAAATATTTATAATCAAAGCCGCGTTCCAACCTACCTACCTACCCACAAACACAAAAAAACATACCTGAATTGGATCAAGGAATTCATCTGGTATGTCCCCGAGAACAGCTTCAGTGTCCATGGCCTCAGAAGCAGCAACTTTGGCTTTGGCACCAAGCTCGATAAATTCCTGTATGACCCTCCCATCTTCTCCAATTCTCCTTAGGACATCCGCTGCAGCACTAAACAACTGGAGAAATATCCAATGACATCAGTTTGCTTCCACTCAAACATAATGATATTCTTGGAAGACAACTAGAAACCAGAATAATAATAATTGCACAGAAGTTGAGTAAAGCTTTGCCTCATCTTAAGTACCTGCTCATTGTACGACCGACCATCCTTTGAGATGGCAGCTGGAAAAATATTTTCTGTATCACCCTTCGCCAAATGAACATATATGTATACAATCTTCAAATAAATTCAAAACAAAAAAGGTGGTCAGTGGTGTTCTTCAATCTGTGTAGTAACAGGCTAACAGCTTATTATATACAAGTTCCATACAAAATTAATTAGTACAGAGTTATTAACACAAAACAATGCCATGCAATTGCAAATTAATATTGCTATGTATGGGTCGAAAAATCAACCAGGCAAAACAGTGTTACATCTTTCATTTTGATGCCATAAGTGGAAAATTAAAGTTCACACTTCACAAGCTCTGTCAGTGTCACCAACAGCTTTACCAAACGCATGGGCTGATGACCGGACAACTATTACTAGAAATGGTAGCACAATTACTATTTCATCAAGCCTGATAAATGGTAGCCCAAAACACATAAGTTCACAAATTTTAATCCAACCTGCTTAAGCAATTGCTTTGGCCGGAATTCATACTTCTCAGGGTCTTTCAAACTAAGAGACTTTCTTTGAGGGCCTACTAATTGCAACAAAAAGTAATTGAGCATGCTGGCCACCCTTTCAACCTGGAAAGAAAACCAAATAACAAGATAAACCTCGTGAACTACTTGTTCATTTAGTAACAAACTATCATTTCAGAGTGATAACATGTCTCTGCAGGAATGTGTGTGAGAGAGATCAGGAGAGAGTTTATACCATCTCAGGAAGTAGGAAAGGAGCCGTAATCTGTTCTGTAGTAAATGCCAGCATACTCACATCTTCATTTGCTAACTTCATATCAATTCGGATAATCTATAACACAAGTATTCATTTGGTTAGCTACTCTTAATTCATGAAAATAACACTACGGTGGTTGTTGTTTGGGCTGAGGGAAGATGAAACTGACATTCTCTTGAGAATGGAATAGGCGGGTCCTCTCCTGCCTCTCTTGAGCAGGCCTGCGTTCCCATTCTACAGTGTTTGCCATCTCAGCTTCTAGTTCTTTGAGTTCAAGAATTTTGTTAAGACTTTCATCCAGAAGATAGATGCTATCATTGATCAAGAAGTTTAAGAAATTCAAGTAAACGCCCTTCTCCTCTTCCCTAGCAATCTGGAACAGTATAAAAGTTAGTGCAGAGTGCAGAAAGTATATAGAAAACTTAGAATTGTGACAGAGAAATTTTGTAACAGGTCTTTCAATGAAATTACTCTACCTGTTTCCAAGCATTTTGATGACTAGGGACTTGCCACAGATATTCAAGAAGTTCAGCGATATTGTGGCGGATGTTAAACTTGTCATAGAACTGCACAGTGGAAAAGCAAACGCACCAATCAACAAGGTAATAAATGATAATGCAAAGTGAATTTAAATTAATGTCCTTCAATATCACATACACATGAACATAAAAGCACTCACCTGTGTGTGAGAACCAGTGAACTCGATGTCGACGTATAGCTTCAAGAGATTCCTCACAAGATACTCAAGAGACAGTTGGTGCCCTTCAAATAGGGTAGAAGTAACAGATGATCCACTGCAGAGGAAATGAAAAAATAAATGCCTAATAGTCATTTCAAAATCAAAGGATGTGAAATAAAATGGAGACATTAAACCACCTTCTGCGAGGCATCCAGCAGTTCAAGACCTCAACCATCTTTGCTCTTAGATAAGGGTTCCTGATATATTCTGGACTTGCCATGAACATTATAATGAAGTTCATAAAATCATCCTGCACAGAAAAAAGAAAATTAAAAAATATGAAGATAAGCATGAAGGGAATATTTTTGGATAAATGTAACAATCCTACCAACAAGACCCCATCCAAAGCTTTGGGAATCCGGGAAGCAAATATAAGCAATTCCATGGCATCTTCCACAAAATGCTCTGGCATAGAAGCAAACTCCGTAGGGCAAGTTAAGGGCAGAGGCATTTTAAATCCGCCAACCAAGCGAACTAGCCACACCACCATCAATCGGTAGAAAGAAAGAGCACTCTGTATAAGTGTACCATCCTGAAGACAAGAATCAGATTTAAGGATCTGTAATGGAAATCAAAATAAGGCTACTAAAAAGTAATAACCAACATACACATCAGATGAATAAAGTGCATATGACACATTTTATTGATGAAAGCATTTTTTATCCTTTCATTGAATCGTTAAAAACAACCTGAGCCTAGAACCACCATAGACAGGCTTCCTTAAAAATAATGCAAATGCCAAGGACTAGAATGGACACCCAACCATCATTCAACTATAATATGATTAGCACTTAATAGGTCTCCATGCCTCAACACCCATGCAAAAATAAAGACAAGGTTAAGTCTAAAAGGTTAGGAAAACCAAGTATAACCCCACAAGAACTTACCCCCAAAAAAAAGTGTATGACCTCACAATATGCACATGCACACACACACACACACAAACACAAACACAAACGTGCGCACAGAGTTCGGACATACCCTTAGTATCTGAGCTTCATAACAAAGCTTTTCCTGTGAATACAACTCTATTTCTTTCTCAAGGCGAGCTATATCCATCTCTAACTGTGGAGAAGATGACTGGCCTTGCATGTTTTTGAGTGTGGAGAGAGTCTCTTCAGACCTTGAAATATCCTGGATTAAGTATTTTTAAAATATAAGTTTTCCACCCATCATTTACATATAACAATTTGTAAAGAAAAACAAAGTTCATGAAGTACACCAATTGCCTAAATCATGAAATAGCACGCAATAAGATGTTACTAATCGTGTGTGGTACTGCATGTCTGCCAATATATAAATCACACCCCAATTACCTGTACTAAATGTTTAAAGTCAGAAAATGCTTTCAGCAAACCCAGATTAAGCACCCTTGCAGTCATGAAGAAGCATTCACAAATAAATGAATATTTAGCTTTTTCATTGCTTGGGTTCACGTTGACACTATTTCCGGAACTGGTGGCTTCTTGAGATTGTAAAAGGCGATTTTCACCATCGCCATTGTGTCTAGAGCCATCAGGATTCCCCATATTATCTTTGTTAATCCATTCAGTAACTTCTTCAGATGATGCATGTAGTGCAGTCAACCCTCTAATATACGCCCATAAACAATGGTTAGCATTTGCAAAATCTTGACAAGAGATCAGAAGAGAAAATATATGTCCGCTAATCAAGAAGTCCTCACCTTAACTCCAGACGGTTACTGTAAAATACATATTTTGGATCAATTTTGTCCCTTTTTGTTAAGTTTGCATCTAAAAACGGCTCACAAAGACGAAGCATGACAGCACTGAGATTGACAAACATGCCTGAACTTGCACATGAAAGAGGATCCACCTGTGACCATAGTTACAAATGACTAAATGTTTATAACATACAAATCCAAAAAAATTCTTACTAAAAATTGACAAGATAAATCACTAGGAAAAGGTTTCAGGCAAGACCAAAAAATAAATAATTGTTTGGCTTGTAGTTTTACTGGCCATAGTAACAATCTTGTCACAAGCAACATCATTATTTTCACCTCAAATGATCAAAGGAAATACCTGAATATGAGCCCTTGATGAGTTTTTATTGATCACCTCTGCAAGATACTCAAGAACATTCTCACGGGTGTCTGCATTTTTCAGAAGTAAGAGAAGAACTTCGGCAAGGCCATCATATAAATTATTCATGACTGTCTTAATTGTGGTGAATGAAGAGAGCAGATCAGCTGGTCGCCGAGTTGAAGCTTCTGAAAAGCACTGCTGCCTGGTGTAATCATTCAATAGAGAACCAATGCATTAAGAAACCTTTCCTATTTAACAATAAAGAGAAGAAAAAAAACGAACTACTAACTAAAAAAGAAGGAGAGTATAGAATGCAATGTCAAAGGAAACAATATGCACATAGATGGTCCATGATAGATCTACCAATTTCATAAATGGTTCAGTTTCTTTTAATCAACCAAAGACAAATTAATTCACTAACCACAGTACCAAACTTGAGAAGGGGCGAGGGCAGACAAGCAAATTGACTCTTATACTTACTTGCTTGTTTTTCTCTTTAAAAGGAGAAAAAGTAAGTTTAACAAGCCAAACAGATACATTAGGTTCAACTGAAGGGAGCCTCAGTCTTCTACAGTCTAAAAAAAAGCAAACAACACAGCATACAAGATTTTGATTCTGTTCTTTTCCTATATTAATATACCACCAACCAAGGAAAGAACATAACAACAACAACAACAAAATGCAAGCAATCGCCCCACAAAAGCACGAGCACCATCTACAAACATGCAAACAATAAACACAATAATTCGCTCACCCGACATCAGGCTGGCTCTTGAAAATTGGATGATCCGGCAGAGCACTGACATGGAAGAAAGGACCTAAAATGCTAGTCCTTTCAATAACTCGCCCATTCAAGTATACCCCTTTGGGAATCCACCAAGGGTGATTGACAAGAGACCTTGCACCAACTGGTAACTTAACCAAAAAATACAGAGCCCTCAATGGCTGCTGGAAGTTTCCGAGGGCCGAAACCTTAAGCACAATCTCCCTAAGTTCCTCATACAACCCTTTCAAAATCGGGTCCAAGCTATCGAAATCCGGGTCCGTGAAGAACTCATCCAAAAACCCAGGTGGGCACTGGATTCCCCCACCACTACCACTACCTCCAAACCCATCAACTGAGCCCCCACCCTCTGAAAAAATCAAGGGCAATAAAGGCGACGCATTTGACTTATTCGGGTTGGAAAACGAATCCGGGTTCCCCAAATGAATCCTACAATACGAAACCGATAGCTTCTTGGCTTGTCTAACCACAGATTCCAATTCAGACCTCAAGTTCTTATCTTTCATCGCAGCTATTTTCTTACCCTCGTCATAAGCCCGTTTGTAGCACCCGATGAGGTACTGGAAAGGCGGTTCAGCAGAGGCAAAATCGCCCGAAAGCCGATCAACTAGAATCGATTCCATGAGGTCCCGAGTGAGCCTCATCTCTTTGCCCTCGCTCAGAATCTCTGCTGCAGTCATCTCCAAGTAAACGATTCGGGAATCGGATTCGGAGGAATCGGTCAGCGATACGAGAAAGATTTTCCGGAGGACTATGTCCTCCAACTCCTCCTGGGACCTCTGGGGTTTCGGGGTCGCCATTTTTTCTTCTCTAGAATGGAAGATATACCAATCTGGGCTCTCTCCCTGTGGGATTTTCCCGAGAAACAAACAGATGGGTATCTGGATTTTGGCTTTATTGTGATGATGGAAGAACAAGCTAGAGTTTTTAGTGAGATAAACAGATGGGAGCAGTGGCCATTGTGAAACAACAACACAGAGGTTTTGATGGTCTGCGACTTAGAACAATTTGGGACGACTTAGGAGTTACTTTAGGCAGAACAAACTTAGTCCGACCAAAACGTGAACTTGGGAGAGAAGTAGGAATAGCTCGGTAAACCGGCACCGGTTCACCTCTGGACCCGGTTGTTTTTTCGTAGCACTATGTAAAGGATTGAATTCGGGGCGGGTCAACCTAATCCGAATCCATTCATAATTGGATTGCATTTTTTTTTCTGTCAGATCATTGAACTCAACTTTCAAACCAAACCATACTCAATAATGATCCGACCGACTTCAGTAATTTCCTTATTTTATTGTATATATTTACCTTTTAATTTATACAATAAGCAACTATATATTACATTGAGTCACATCCAATTATTATTGGATTCGATCAAACTCTATTTTATTATGAGTAATGTTAAGAATACCAAATTTGAGTCCCGAATGACGTGGAATACACATCATCAATTTTATATTGGTTCTTTTATGAGTCATTATTTTGCTTAGTTACAAAATTAGGTGTTTTTTTATTTTATTTGAGGACATTTCCTATTGAGAGGGAATGATAATATACTAAACTCACACGCACAACACGAATGCTAGGACTCGAATCCAAAACCTTTTTGGGAGGAGCAATTGCTCCAAACAACTATACAAGTGAGTCCTTTACAAATTTGGTTTTAGTTATGCTGAAGATCAACTTCTCAAACCCAATAGTAAGCTCTAACTTTAAGACATAGCTTTAACCTTATAGCCACTTGATATTTAACCATAAGTGACAACCATGAGGTCCTTGATAGTTATATATATCCAACACTGTTTTGATTACAAATTTAATCTCAGTTGTTAATATGTTGTTGGGCTTTTTGCTGTGTAGGCAAACTCTAACAGCAGAACAATGCTTCTAGATCAACATGCCAAATCAATTGTGGTCGAATTTCTGGTCATCCAACGGTCAACACATCCAAATGTAATGAGCCTTATGTTATCAATGGCTTGAATCTCATGACAAATATAAAACTTCATCGCATATCAATGACCCATCCTTGCACCATAAAAGCATGAAATGCAAATACAAAGCAGCTTCTCTTCTCAAACACTTAGTAGAAGAAGAAATAAATTATTTTTCTTTAATTTCCAACAATGGAACAGAGCTAATATCATAATGTTGAGATTTTATCACTAGAGGAAGTGAATGAAGCGAGGGAGGCTTTTGGAGATGATAAGCCAATTAGATTCCAAGTTCCTTAGATCAGTCTTAGCTGAAACTTACTTAGCCACCGTGGAAAACATTGAGGCGCAAAATGCAAGTTCTGGAAGAAGTGATTTCATCAAATTTCTTCGAGGAATTTAAAGATGCACTCAAAACACATGGGACGTATATGGAGATAAACGTTCCTGTTGATGTGCATCCATACATACGTCAACGTGTATTCCTGTGGGCAGACGACAACGAGGTGGAAGTTAACAACAGGGACGAAATATAATTAAGATGGTGATTTTGATGATTAGGAACTAAATAAGTGTTAGAATTTGGATCCTCTGCTTTACTTGATTCAGTAATTAAATGAGTGTTAGAATTTAGCTTCTCTATGTTACTTAATGCAGTAGCTAAGTAAGTGTTATAATTATGGCTTTCTGTAGCTAATAAATGTTATAACAAACAAATTAATTTGCATTCTATCCAGTGGTTTAAATTTTAGATAAATTGAGTAATATCTGTTAATTGGAATTTTAGATATACCCAAAATCACATTCTTGAATTTGACTCTACATATTCAGAACTCAAAACCTCCATGCACTCTAGGGTAATGCAGCAAGGGTTTTTCTTTCCAAAGGAAGAGGTGTTCCTAAATCCTAACCTCTCTCTAAAAGACTAAAACCCTTGCTTTTACACCTGCATCTTCTGCAACTTCAATCTTTTCGTCCACAAGATTTCAACTATCTCAGGCCAATGGACCAAAGTGGAATATTACCTAAGGTAAGGTTCAAGAAGAGATGGCAAAACATACTCGTGCCGAATCAATCTTTTGATGCTTTTATCTGTTTTTGGATCCATGTCAAAGTTCTTTCTGTCAATCTTACTAATAATGGAAGTGCAAAACCTATGTTTACTGCTTAATCATGTCTTCTAGGATATATGATCAAGGGTAATATTTACTGAGCTTTTCTTGAATATTCTTGTAGGTAACGGAGATTGAGAGCAAGGATTGGATTAATGAACTTCCTGAAAGCATTCTTTCATTCATAGTTTCATTCTTAACCATAAAAGAAGCAGCCGGTACAAGCATGATCTACCGCCAGTGGAGGCAGCTCTGGTTGGATCACGTACTAAGTTACTAACAAGACGAGACCTCGAATTCAATATTCCAAACATTTTTGGAAGCAATTATGTCACACCAAATTCTAAAGTTAACATTTTTGTGAAACATGTACCGTGGTGAGAAGGAAGACTCTTTCAAAGTGGCTTTCTATTTGGATGCTAAATCAGCTGACACCCTTAATGCATGGATTAGTTTTGCAATTTTAAGGGGAGTTGAAGTGCTTGATCTTCACTTATTTCGTACTTCGAGGATGAACGACATTATTTTTTCCGATCAGAATTGGCCACATCATCAACTCTAAAGCATTTGAGGTTGAGCAGATGTGTTCTAAGGCCTCCTCCTGATTTTGACGGATTCATGCAATTAAGAACTCTTTATCCGGAAAGGGTCACTGTGGATGAAGTTTTTATGGCAAGTATGTTCTCTATTTGTTTGTTCCTTGAAAGCTTGAGCTTACTTGGCTGCAGCATTGGCTCATCTCTGATTGTTGATGGCCCATCACTTCGTTTAAATGATTTAAAAGTGCTCAACTGTTTTAATGATCCAGCAACTATCAAGATTTCTGCAGTAAATCTTGCATCCTTTGAATACAGTGGAAATATTCATCACATATCTTCCATCAAACCTCCACATGGTACAAAATGCATTCCCTCATGCACTGACCCGATTCGCATCCTTTCCTCAGCTCGAGACTCTTTATTGGCTCATGGAGGATGATCTGGTGACTGATGATTGGTTTTTAGATAATGCATGAGAGAGCTGCTATTAAGGCTCCAAAATAGTTATATTGTGTGACAATATTTGCATCCCTTTTTAAACCTTAATTTTCATGTCCTTTTAGGTAAAGGAACTACCAGAAAGCTTACCAACATTTAGAAACCTCAAGCAACTGGAATTGGTTGTCCATGGGCCTGAAAAAAGTAGCAAAGACAATGAACTCGTGTGGGTTCTAAAGTTTCTCAAGGCAACACCTCTTCTGCCAGAACTTGTGATAACCATCAGTAACTAAATTGTTTCAAGTCTGGTGCAAATGATATCTGTTGTCAATTCTTTTGGTGTTACGGGATTCTCTCAATACTAATCTCTCATCTCATTCTACCAAATTGAATGCACAAATTTTTGCAGGCAAGGTGGGGACCACAGTTCTACTAGGACCAACCGGAGATAAGGAACATTGATTCTGGATTTTCGCATGATCAGTTGAAAAGTGTTACTATCAACACGGTTCAAGGTAACTGGTACGAGGTAGAGCTTTCCATCTGTGTTCTGAAAACGGCGACGAAGCTGGAGAAGATGGTAATCGATCCATTTGGGAAACTCTATTATGATGGTGAGTGGAGTTGGACCAATGACGATGCTTCCGGATTCACCATGGGTTTAAAAACGTCGCCCTTTTGTCTGTCAACAGCTAAAGGAAGTGAAGACTGATGGTCAAGTTATAATTCTATGAAAAAATGCTTCTACTTAGGCCATTTGTCTGTGACATGCATAGCATAAGTTGATAAAATGCTTGATTTGATTGATCATAAGTCAATCTATAAGTAGAATGAAAAGAAGAAAGCCAAACTGAACTAATATATATATATATATATATATATATATCATCATCTGGAAAATGCTCTGGATAGTACTATGATACAAAACTTTTTCTTGTTCCTATTGCTTTTTTCTGCCAATGAAAAATTAGATGGCAAGAATGCAGGAGGACAATGATTTTGTTTGTATGTAGACTATTGTTTCAGTTCCGAAACACTGCAGGGATTTATCAAGTGGATCAATGCTTGTGAGTCAGAATGAGAGTCATTCTCCCTATTAAACGATCCCGTGTTGAGACTTATAGAAAATCACGATTATCAGATGTATTTAAGAATGATTGTGTAGTATTGGCAGGACCAAATAGCAGCTCCAAGCAGAAGGCAGGGCCACATATCGATCTTCCTTTCTTCCCCATTTTATCCAAATCCGGCAAAGTGAGCTGTAGGGATCCAAAACACCAACACAAGATGAAATCATATTTCTAATTTTACATGCGGGACTATAGTAAAGTGCTGCAAAGAGAAAGAAGTTGAGACCTGTAGCAAGCTGTTCCTGATGAAAGCTGTGTTAAAGCAAGCATAGAAGAGACGCCCTCCATTCATTTTTTGATAAAATATGACACGTATGTCTCCAGTTACCTTTCCAAGCAAATATGATGCATTCTCAGATTGTATATTAAACAATGGAAAGGCTCACAAACTTAGAAACAAACATAACATCATTGGAAAAGTGAACTTTCAAATAAGTTTTGTTCTTGAAATTCTATTTCATAATTCCTTCCCCACAAAGTGTAACCATCCACAATAGTTTGTTTTCTTCTTTAGTTTCCTTCTTAAATGTCACAATATATGAAAACTGCAAGAACCAATGCCTTACCTGTACAGGCTTATCAAAGTAATATTCAAGACAGGCCTTCTGGTATAGGATGGAACTTTCTGTATCCATTTGAACTACAACATGAGGCTCTTCTTGTTCTGATTTCTTGTCTTCCTCATCACCTTCAATGAAAGAGAGATAATATCGAGGACTGCTTGTTCTCTGATATCCTTTCTTAATCTGTTTGCAGGAACTCCTAGCAACTTCTAGTGATGGACGATAAATCTGACCGGAAATCTGTTAACAAATGGTTCAAAAGCTTCTTGTCAGTAGACATAAAAGAAAAAACAGATAACATGACTAAGAATCAA